AAGTGTTTGAAAATGGTTTTTCTCCTCTCTTTTTCTCTTCTTTAGGGTTGTTTATAACGTTGTTAACGTTATGCTCCGTTCTGTTACTTTAAAATTACTAACTTCAAACTTTATGTCGTCTTCTGTGGAATAATAAATTCAGATTTTATCTGGAAGTGGTTTTTAAGATGCTTTTTGTGGTTAAATTACTGAAGTTGTAAAAGCACTTCAAAATTGACGGAGAGAAGTTGACACATCGGAAATGGAAGTTAGATGCAAAAGAAGTGATTGATAATGTTTTTCTCTTCTTTGAAGAATTATTGTTCCATAGAGAACGATATAAAGTTTCAAGTTAATAATTTAAAAGTAAAGTAACAGAACGGAGCATAACAGTAAGAAGGAGCATAACATTAACAACGTTATAAACAACCCTAAAGAAAAAAGTTCTACAATAAATGACAATATTTGTCGCTGCGTGACAATATTTTGTGAAAAGAAGGAGCACGGTAACGAAAACAGCTTTCTCTTCCTCTTAACACGAAGTTTATGTAAGTATATATGGCTGGTGAAGAAAAGAAAGAAATTCAAATTGATATCGTAAGTGATTACATTTTAATTATAAAAGTTTACTTGAATGAATAGTTGGAAATAAAGTTTTAAATATAAAGTATAATACTGCTATGAAAAACATGTTAATAAAATTCTTCTGAATTTATTTTAAACACCGAGCTTTCTATCACAACTTAGATCATTTTCAAGTGTGAATGTTTAATATAAGCGAATATTTCGCTTATATTAAATCCATGCTAAAGAGGTCGAGCAATTGCGACGCCTCCTAGTTCTAGATCTATATTATTATGAAAATTGCTGGAGACTCAGCGTTCAAAAAGAAACAAAACCGAAAATACAATGGGATTGCGGAAGAACAGGTTTTGAATTCTGTAACGGTAAGACCAATGAATCGGGGAGGAGTGCCTCGAGATCCAAGAAGAGGTGAACGAAGAGACCGGAGCGGTGGCAATACAGTGATCGAAGCTTTTGGTGAATCGATCTTGAGACAACCAACAACAAATTCGAAATCTGACTTCTCGATAGCTCTGCTCGTTCTTGAAGGGATAGGAGCGACAAGGGTCGAGATGAATAAACTCATCCTAACCCAATTACCAGATGTAAAGCTTGCCGGTATCCAACTCAATCGAAACAACGGTACGTTCACGCTGTACGCTTTTGATGTCAGATCGTTCAACACCCACTGACTGGCGCCACGAAATTATCGATCGGAGATGGACAAGCAGCAATATGTATTCCTTGAGCTATTCAATGCATTCTTGATACGCAGAAAGACGCTTTTGTGAAAAACGTCGATCTTGACATCGATGATGACGAAATTCGAACGGTGCTAACAGAAAATGTATGGGACATAACTACTCTTAGTTCACAAAAACATCAAAAAAATCAAAAAAAGGTGTTTTGTTTTTTATTGCCTTTTTCCGCTTTAATCTCTTCTCCTTCGATTTATTATTATTTGTCAAACACCCTCACCCCGCCCTCACCCTAATTGAAATGTAACCTGCTTTCTTTTTGTCTTCTGTCGTATTTATTTAAATAAAATATTAAATAATGAAGAGAAATCATTCACTCAGAAAATTGAAAATACAGTTTTCAAAAAAGGTGAAACTGGCTTTCTGGTGCCAGAATTTAACTTTTTTAAAAAGTTATGTGAGATTCGTCAACATTTATAATCGAAAACTCATCCGAAGAAAATCTTTTCAAGCAAATTCTTTTTAGAAATTCTTTTTGAGAAAATTTCATTTGAGTAATGTTAAACCTATTTCTTCGTCCACAACAACAACAAGAAAAGACCTTTTTTTTGATTTTTTTGATGTTTTTGTGTACTAAGAGAAGTAGTTATGTCCCATACAAAACAACATAGAGCACGTTGTTAATAACTTAAAAATGAAGTTTCAGAATCAGCTTAGAAGTTCTGA